CTATTCCCTCAATGAAACTTCTCCTGAATCCCCAGCCAGAAAAGAAGGTCTGTCTTGCCTTTGAACTGCTATGCCTTCGTATGGTTTCTTGCAGCACATGTCAGCTTCTATTATGGTATTGCTGCCATTTACATTCACAGCTGGCCTTTTTTCTTTACTAACTTGAAAACTCAGGAAAGGCAGGGTCAAGTTTTCTCAAGATGGGTATCTTCTACAAGAGCTGGCAAATTGTTAGAGCTATTAATTGTACCTACTGTGTGTGAGGCCCTTTGCTGGGAAACAGAGGTCAGTAGATGACCCGGTCTCTGTTCTCAGGAAGCCAAGTCTACTGAACAGGACAGACCAATAAAGGAGCTCGTTTAATACACTTTGGTAAAGGCTACTATAGAGAGCCACTGAAGCAACTGTGAAAGCATAAGGCCATGACCAAGGTTTCTGGGAACATTTAAGTTGAGTCTTATGGAGTGAACAAAAGTCTTTCTAGATGAATGAGGAAAGAAAATTCCAGGCATAAGAAACATGATACTGAAAGGCCATGAAATATGAGAAAGGAAACAAAGTTGTGTGGCTAGAGAGTAGGTGTGTAGAATAGGGAAGAATTGGTAAGGGGGCTGCTAGAGAGGAGGTGGGGCCACATGAGCCATGAACCCTTGAAGGGTTTTTTATCCAGAGGGCTTAGAGTGTCAGAAAGAGGGAGCAGTGATTAACTGTGAAAGGAGGAGGAAGGCCTCTCTATGAACATCTGGTCCTCTGATGTGTCAGAAGGAGGTTCAGGTGTTGGAGACCAGGTGCCAGTGGGACTGACACGTGCCTTTGGGAAGAATGGAGGGCTCCCTCTATGCAAAGAGAATCTGAGGCTCCCAGTGCCATTATCCTGGGATAGTTCTGGGAGGGATGAAGATAAATATGATGATATGTGACATAGTAGGTTTCTAAATGTTAGTTTTAAAACTAAACAAAGTAGTAGGAAATTGAGTTAAATTTTTTTTATTATAAATGTTATAGGAATTCATATTTAGAAGATAACCATTGAAAGCTGGAGTAGTCAGTGATGGGGAAGTAAGAGTTGAGCTATCCTTGAACATTGAAAACAAGGTGATGGACAGATAGGAACAGGAGTCCCTCCAAGCAAGAGAAGCAAGCTGGAAGGCATCTTTGCAGAAGCATTGGGCAACTTTTGGGTTGGAGGGGAGGAGGGAAGCAGTGAAGCTGAGTACAGGGGCTGGGCAAAGGGGTAGAAGTCCTTTTTTTAAATTTATTTTTTTAAGAGATGAGGTCTTGCTATGTTGGCTAGGCTGATCTTGAACTCCTGGTCTCAAGTGATCCTCCCACCTCAGCCTCCCAAAGTGCTAGGATTACAGGTATGAGCCACTGCACCCAGCCATGATGTAGAAGTCCTTGAAGGACAGATGTTTACCTCTGAGACATTAGGAAAAAGCTACTGATATGATGAAAGTGGCTTAGCAAGATTAATTAGGTGATTTTGAAATATACAATGCATTATTATTTATTGTAGTCACCATCCTGTACAATCGATCACTAAAGCTTATTCCTGTCTAACTGAAATTTTATACCCATTGATAAAAATCTCTCCTTTCCCCATTCACTGCACACCGCCCCCCAGCCTCTGATAACCACCATTCTGCTCTCTAATTCTGTGAGTTTGACTGTTTTAGATTCTACACATACAAGCATATCGTGAATATATTGCAGATTCAGGTCTAGACCACCATAATAAAGCAAATATCGCAATAAAGTGAGTCCCACAATTTTTTTTTTTGTTTCCCAGTGCATATAAAAGTTATGTTTACACTGTTCTATATCCTGTTATGCAATAGCATGTCTAAAAATGTACATACCTTAATTAAAAAATGCTTTATTGTTAAAAAGTGCTAGTGATCACCTGAGCCTTCAGTGAGTCATGATCTTTTTGCCAATGGAAGGTCTTGCCTTGAGTTGATGGCTGCTGACTGATCAGGGTAGTAGTTGCTAAAGGTTGGGGTGGCTGTGGCAATTTTTAAAAATAAGGCAACAGTGAAGTTTGCCACATTGATAGACTCTTCCTTTCATGAAAGATTTCTCTATAGCTTGTGACACAGTTTAATAGCATTTTACCCACAGTAGAACATATTTTGAAATTGGAGTCAATCTTCCCAAACTCTGCCACTGCTTTGTCAATTAAGTTTCTGTAATAAATCCATTGTCGTAATTTCAACAGTGTTCACACCATCTTCACCAGGACTAGATTCCCTCTCCAGGAACCACTTCTTTGAAGTAACTTCTCATGCATTCAAGTTTTATCATGAGATTGTAGCAATTCAGTCAAAACTTAAGGTTCCACATCTAATTCTAGTTCTCTTGCTATTTCCATCACATCTGCAGTTACTTCTTCCACGGAAGCCTTGAATCTTCAAAGTCATCCATGAGGGTTGGAATCAAATCTTCCAAACTTCTCTTAATGTTGCTATTCTGACCTCCTCCTCATAAATGTTCTTAATGGCACCTAGAATGGTGAATTCTTTCCATAAGGTTTTCAATTTACTTTGCCCAGATTCATCAGAGGAATCACTATCTAGGGCAACAACAGCCTTACAAAATGTATTTCTTAAATAATAAAGACTTGAAAGTCAAAATTACTCCTTGGGCCATGGGCTGCAGAAAGGACGTTGTGTTAGCAGACACAAAAACAACATTAATTTTGTACATCTGCATTAGAGCCTTTGGGTGACTAGGTGCATTGTCAATGAGCAGTAATATTTGGAAAGGAATCCATTTTTTCTTTTGAGCAGTAGGTCTCAACAGTGGGCTTAAAATATTAAGTAAACCATGCTGTAAACAGATGTGCTGCCATACAGGCTTTGTTGTTCCATTTATACAGCACAGTCAGAGTACATTTAGCATAATTCTTAAGGGCTGTAGGATTTGCAGAGTAGTAAATGAGCCTTGGCTTCAACTTCAAGAAACCAGCTGCATTAATCTCTAATGAGAGTCAGCCTGTCCTTTGAAGCTTTGAAGCCAGGCATTGACTTTTTCTCTTTAGCTGTGAAAGTCCTAGCTGGGATCTTCTTCCTATATAGGCTGTTTCTTCTGCATTGAATATCTCCATGTTATCAATAAGGTTGTTTCACTTTCTTATTGTTTGTGTGTTCACCAGAGTAGTACTTTTAATTTCCTCCAAGAACTTTTCCTTTGCATTCGTAGCTTGGTTGTTTGGTGCAAGAGGCATAGGCTTTGGCTTATCTTAGCTTTCTACATGCCTTCCTCACTAAGCTTAATCATTACTAGCTTTTGATTTAAAGTGAGAAACTTGCAACTTTTCCTTTCACTTGAACACTTAGAGGCCATTGTAGGGTTATTAACTGGACTAATTGTAATATTGTTGTGTCTCAGAAAATAAGGAGGCTCGAGGAGAGGGAGAGAGATGGAGGAAAAGCCAGTCAGCAGAGCACTCAGAAAACACACAACATCTATTGATTAAGTTTGCCATCTTACATGGGTGCAGTTTATGGCACTCCCAAATAGTTAAAATAGTAGCATCAAAGATCACGGAGTTTAGGATCAGCCTGGGCAACATGGCCAGATCCCATTTCAAAACAAAAAACAAATCACAAATCATAGATCACCTTGACAGATTTAATAATAATGAAAAAGTTTGAAATATTATGAGAATTACCAAATTTTACACAGAGACATGAATGAGCACGTGCTGTTGGAAAAATGGCACTGATAGACTTGCTCAATGCAGAGTTACTCCAAACCTTCAATTTGTGAAAAATGCAGTATCTGTAAGGAGCAATAAAATGATGTATGCCTATGTTACTAAAAGGTTGACTTTATATATTTTCACCACGTAAAAATGAAAGCATGTGAGCTGATGAATTTTGTTTACATTAGTTAATACATCAAATGTAAATGTATATCAAAACATCACATTATACTCCATAAATATATACAATATACAATTATTTGTCAATTAAAATATAAAATATTTATATGCAATAAAAAATATTTTTTCCAAAAAGATTAATTAGTTGGCTATGGATGGATGGATTGTGCAGGTAAAAGGGAGGAGTTTGTCACAGGCTTTTGCCTGTAGTAATAAGGTTTACATTGTACAATAAGATAATGGAAGGACTATTGGGGAGGACTTTTCTTCTAGGTAGTGATCAACAGGGCTTGGTGTGGGGATGGTGGATCCACAGGGAGCCAAAAGTATGAGGTTTGGGGCCTAGGAGAACTGTGGTAACATTGAGAGGGACATAGTAGATTGGGAAGGGGAATTGGTCTATGGGATTAGACTTGTTTTTAAAATTGAAGTCATCACATCTGACTCAATGAGTGTGAGAGTTTTATGGACAGTTGGAGCTATGAGACCTGTGGCCACTAGTGATGTTTTGAAATCATTACAGCACAGTTGGGGCAGGAGCCAGATTGCAAGGAATAACAGAAGATCGTGAAAAAGCAACATCTTCCTAGGTGGCAGCTGCTTGTTTCACGAATTGCATGAAAGGAGGAGAAAAATGTAGTAGTTACAAGGGACATTAAGTAGAATCCTTAAGCTGGGATAGGGCATAGAAACCTCCAGATTAATTCCTTATAAATTCTTACACACATATGGTCACTGATATCATATTTCTTTCATCCATCTCTTCATTCATTCACTATGTATCCGCATGCCAGGCATTCTGGTCACTTCTCCCCTTTACTTCAGTGTGGGCTAAGTGCCAGAGCAGCCCCTTAGCAGTCATTACTAGTGTAGCAATAACAGGACTTAGGCTAAGGACACCTGGAATAATAAATCACCGTCTTTTCTTCCCTTAATTTCAGCTAACATTTCTTTCCTTCCATCCCATGAGAAGGTGCAGGCCTAGTGTCAGTGATTCCAGCCATGTGTTCTGAGTACTTTGAGATGTTAATGCAGTACATTTCAAGAACCATTTTTAAACAATGTTTTTTTTTTGTTTTTGTTTTGTTTTGTTTTGTTTGTGTGATACAAACAGGTAGAGTGGAACCCGCAGCTATTAGAGGTCCCACCCCAAACTCAGTTTGATTACACAGTCACCAGTCTAACTGGCGGTCCGAAACCACATTCTCCTTATGACTCTCAATACCGTGAGACCACCCTGAAGGTGAGCAATGCTTCCTTGCTCGGGGGAGCCCCACTGCAAAGGTTGGGTGGTTTTCTCTGGGCTGAGTTCAGCAGGCTGTCAGGTGTTTTCATTCTTCTTTCTCTTTCTTCCCTACTTTAGGGGGGCATGTTTGCCGGGCAGCTGACCAAGGTGGGCATGCAGCAGATGTTTGCCTTGGGAGAGAGACTGAGGAAGAACTATGTGGAAGACATTCCCTTTCTTTCACCAACCTTCAACCCACAGGAGGTCTTGTGAGTCACTTGAAAAGGGATGTTGCACTTAATTTAAGGTCTTGAGCATGAGGATACCTGTCCTGACTCCCAAAGATGGTTCCCACTCTCACCCAAGGTAGTTTGGGGGACAATTTGTCATGCTGCATACCCTTATGTCACAGGATCTGGTGAACAGGTGGTTCCTGGAGGTCACATTCATTGGACTTCGAGTCTCTTGAGGGCACACATCCCACAGAGAAGTAAAGCTTTCTTCCTAGTTCCATAGCTCTCCTTATGTAGTCTTGAAAGACCCCTGGAGCCTCTGTGGAATAAAATAAGAGTATATATAATTAAATATTCCTTTTATGACTGTCACTGTCTTCTCATTTTTTTCAGTATTCGTTCCACTAACATTTTTCGGAATCTGGAGTCCACCCGTTGTTTGCTGGCTGGGCTTTTCCAGTGTCAGAAAGAAGGTTCGTATTTGGGATCCCAGTCAGTCCCTGTCCCTGGGGTTCTTGCTTCTCGCTTCCAAAGCCCCTGTCTCTTTCTCGGTGCCTGTTCCCTTGATTTGTTTTCTCCTGCATGTGTGACTTCCAGTGTGTACCTTCCAGTCCGGTGGGTCCTTCCCTGTCTGGCCTTATGGTGCCCCTGCCAGCCTGACCTCCACAGTAGCAGCAGTGTAGCAGCTGCTCTGATCTGCCTCTCGCTCCTGGCTTCTCCCCTCAAGCTTCTACACAAGCTGCACAAGGCAGTCTTAACCATGTTTTGTAAACACTCGAGGGGACTTTTTGTTTAGGTGAGACATTGCTGGAAAGGAAGGACACTGGGCCCCAACACTGCTGCTACTGCCCTAATCTTGGTAATAATCCATAGCGTGAACAGTGTTCTGTCTAGCCTTTCCTAGTTGAGAAAGTCCATCAAGTTTGGGTTTTGATATATTCAGCCCCTGAATGGTTGTAGTCAGTGGTTCCTAACCTTGTCATCCCCAAGGACTGAGTTAATTATTTTCCCTCGTGGATCCCATGTGTTGAGAGCCTTTGGCCATCACATGAAGCTTCATTTTGTCATTTGTAATTGACTCAAATTTACATTTAATCACTGGTCTGAGTTTCAGATTATCATGACCTCATTAAACAGGTGCCACAAAGCAAAGGTTCTTGTTACTTTGTTTAGCTTTTTGGCAGTATCTCAAATAGAAACAAAATTTCATCACACTTTTTAAGAAATATGTAAAATAATAGAACCTTCAGGAAAGAGGAGTCTGGTCTTACCCCCAACTGGGTTGGATACTGCTGCTAGTTCTGGCTATAGTTGGCTGCTGCACACAAACAGTACGTGTCTAGGTAACATAAAGCAGTTTGGGCTGCCCCTTACTTCTTGGGAGGCCTTGAGTTTAGGAATGACCCACAGCGCCTGATCTTCTGAAAGCTCTCAATTGCTTAGCTTCTAAAAGGTAAAGATCTTAGAAACATCAGAAGTGGTACTGAGAAGGAAAGATGTTTCTTGGTGGCAACATTTTCTTTAGGCAAGTCCCAGACTGGGAATGTCCCAGGTTTCCAGCACGGAAGGAAATCACTAGCCTCAGGTGCAGGTGTCTGGGTAGCAGCTCCCTGCGCTGGACCCACAGGTGTTGGGACTCCAGTTTGGCTTCTTTCCTAGCTACTTCCATGCCTTTCCTATATGAAGGGACTTGAATAAAGAATCCCAGAAGGGGCCGGGTGTGGTGGCTTACGCTTGTAATCCCAGCACTTTGGGAGGCTAAGGCGGGTAGATCATAAGGTCAGGAGTTCAAGACCAGCCTGGCCAAGATGGTGAAACCCCCATCTCTACTAAAAATACAAAAATTAGCCAGGCATGGTGGTGGGTGCCTATAATCCCAGCTATTCAGGAGGCTGAGGCAGGAGAATTGCTTGAACTTGGGAGGTGGAGGTTGCAGTGAGCCAAGACCACACCACTACACTCCAGCCTGGGTGACAGAGCAAGACTCTATCTCAGAAAAAAAAAAAAAAAAAGAATCCCAGAAGGTGGCACTGTTGGTGGAAATGCTGCAACTTTGGGATATTGCTTTAGGAGTAAAATCCTGGAAAAGTCCCAGAGGTTACATGTAAGCTACAGAGAATCAGGCTGTGGGGAAAGCTGGAGATTGTTGGTCTGCCCACTTGGCCAATCATTTGCTCAGTGTACATTTGTCTACTCAAGTGTGCCTTATTTATCATAAACTGTGGGTCCAAAATCCAGACAGCATTATCAGACCCCAGATGGAACTATTAGAGGTTTATAATTTTATTAGTGTTATATAAGTTTAAGTCATAATTATTCTAACACATAAAGGACCTAGTACAGTCATTCCACAGTATCCAAAAGGGATTGGTTCCAGGACAACCCTCTCCCGTAGCAGATACCAAGATTTACAGATGCTCAAGTCCCTTTTATAAAATGGCATAGCTTTTCATATAACCTATGCCCATCCTCCCATGTACTTCATATCATCTCTAGGTTACTTTTAATACCCAGTACAACACAAATGCGATGTATTATCCTGTACTGTTTTCTAATTTGTTATTTTTATTATGTTAGTTTGTATTGTTCTTTTTTTCTTAAATATTGTTAATCCATGGTTGATTGAATCCATGGATGTGGAACCCAAGGATGTGGAGGACCAATTGTATGCAACAAACTTTGTTCTAAGAACTTTGCATATATTAACTTGTTTAATTCTTGTAATAACCCTATGAGGTAGGTGTCATTATCCCCTTTTACAGATAAGAGAACCAAGACACAGAGAGGCTCAATGACTTGCCCAGGGACACAAAACTGGTAAATGGTGGAATTAGGATTCAAACTCTGGCAGTCTTGGTTCAGAATCCTACTTTTTCCTTTTATGCTCAACTGTTTCTTTGAGGACATGTATATCTGGAGGCGGCATCAGATCATTTGGTTTGTCCTTTTCACAACACATCTTGCAGAACCCCAGGATTCTTCAGAGGGGTCTCAGAAAGTACAGAAACGGAGGGGATGGGACACGCAAGTGGACTATGCTTTGGATCTCCACCTTGCAGCCATCAGCACCTCTTCTTTTATTATTATGCTTTACATAATAGTGGGAGGTTGGAGGAGGTTCTGTGGCTGATATAGTCCCACCCCTTCGATGTACAGATGAACCCCAGAGAACGGTAGTGACTTCCCAAGGCGACTCTGCTGGTTAGTTGTGGACTGAAGACTAAACTCATGACTTTCAGTGTGGTTTCTTCTTCTGTTCACACCAATGATGTGTGTGTGGATTCTGATATTCTAGTGAAGTTATAGGCTACTTTTAAAGCCCTTGGTTCTGACTATCCATAAGTTGGGAATAAATACCCCTTTGGGACTTTGATTCAGCTGATCACTCTGCAGACGGACCTCAGTGAATCCCAAATTGCTGCTGGGGAGCTACTTCTTTTGCCATCAGGCTTGAGTGGTGTGGAAAAAGAACCTACCACACAGAGATGGCACTTGCCATCTCTGGCACAGAGCAAAGCCTGGGAAGGTGTTAGAACACCTTCTTTGGGCATTGACAGGAGGGGACAACGGTACTGAGGAGCTCTGAACAGCAGTGAGCTGCCATGAGAGACATAAGAAACATTGTTTGTAGTTTCTTTGGTTAGATCTTTGGTTAGAACAGCCATTCATCTAAAAGCCTGGCTTTTTATTTTGGGCAAGGCTATGGGGTCTCTGAGAGGATCTGTGGCCTTGCGTTCACTTTTCTCAGTTTGTTATGTGATAAGTCACCATAGTGGCCTATAGGATCAGGCTTCGGGAAGCAAGAAAATAACTTAGTTCTGATAACGCTACTCTTTATTAGAATGCCCAGATGCTGGGAGTGCTTTACAGCAGGGATTTTTTGGAAGGGGTCAGGGAGTTGCCAGTCTGATTCAGGTCTATTACCTGCTCTAGTCTATTTGTGGCCCAATAGGAGGGCTTGTGCTAGACAGAACAAGGCTGCTGTGACTTACTTTTTCCATTGCTCAGATTATAGGAGAGCCCCCTTCGGCAGGGCCAGGGCATGTGGAGGGCATTCTCTGTCCTTAAGGAGTAACCCTGATGATCTGCCTCTCAGAGCGGATCTCTGCTCCATCTCTGTAGACAAAGAGAAGCGGGTGGAGATGCTGGGAAGAACAAGCTGAAGCCTCTGCCTGCCTGTGCTTCCTACCTTTCTTCCAGGACCCATCATCATCCACACTGATGAAGCAGATTCAGAAGTCTTGTATCCCAACTACCAAAGCTGCTGGAGCCTGAGGCAGAGAACCAGGTAACTGCTCCTGGTTTCTTGCTCACCAGTGGGGGACAGCCTTTTACCACCTTTGCTGGCAGAACTGTCTGTACTGAGGGCCTGCCCAGGCTTACCCTACTGGCGAATAATGGATGGGAAGGTTTAAATTACACTTAAATGTGACATCAGCTGTCTAGGGAGTGAAGAAGTCTTATTCATAGTGACAGACCCATGGTGAAGGTCAGGAATTCTGAGAAGAGCCGCACGTTGGGCTAGCAAGATGATACATACAGCCACGAGTAGGCCTTTGCCATTTACAAAATATTATCCTCCTGACGACCCGGGGCTCTCAGGTGGGGCAGATGAGGAAACCAACAGGTGAAATAAAAGATGACTGAGACTGTCTTTAACCTGCAAATCCAGGTGTACAAGCCCAAGAAGACACAGACTTTTCTTCTCTTACCAATATGTTTCTATGTAGGATAGATTGGTTTGGGCTGATGACACTTTTCAGTTATCAGGTATCTCTAGGCTGTACTAAGATTATATGGCATTCCATAAAGAAAAGAGAATGCTGTTTTCAGACACACATGGGCCATGCTTCCATCATTTTTTATATAATGCAAATGCTAGAGTGAGATTTGGAAAATTCATCCTGTTATCCTAACCCTGGTACTTGCTAACTTATGTTTACAAGTCATTTGACCTTATAGAGCCTTAGTTTATGCATCTATAAAATTGGGATAATACCAGCTAACCCCAGTGGGTTGTGAGGATTAAATGGTATCCCAAATGATAATCCCAAATGTGAAGTACACTTTGTAAACTGTTAATCACTATAGAATATAAGACATTACTCTTTGTTTTTTTGTCAGAGGCCGGAGGAAGACTGCCTCTTTACAGCCAGGAATCTCAGAGGATTTGAAAAAGGTGAAGGAAGGGATGGGCATTGACAGTAGTGATGAAGTGGACTTCTTCATCCTCCTGGACAATGTGGCTGCCGAGCAGGTGAGTCCTGGGGTTGGGGAGCCTGGGATAATAGCCTTGGTGGGCTGGCTCCTGAGTTAAAACTGGGGGGAGAGAAGTGGGTGGAGGCCTCCTGGTTTGGAGGCAACTGTGATAGGACCTGCAGATAGAATGGATGTGGGGACTGAGGGATAGGGAGCAATCGAGGAAGACTCCTTACCCAGGTAGGAACACAGGCACTGAACTCTAGACCAGAGCTTCTTGAGGCATGTTCCCCAGAACACCCAATATGCAAGTGTGTGTTTGGGCAGGTGGGGGCAATGGTTGGAAGGGATGAGTAGGGTCTAAAAATTTTGGAATCCCTATTTATTGTATCACTTCTTGAGAGTACTATATGTACATCAACACATTAAAAAAATCTGAGATGCCTTTCGTAAAGAAAGCTGGTTAATCTTTAAGTCTGTTTTCCTTAAGCTTATTTAGCCATAGGATCTTTTTTTCTGTAATAAATATATAAAGAAGACTGATAATGGGAAAGGTTTCTCTAGATTCAGAAGTTGGACATCCAAAGGTGTATAGGATCCTCCCTCCTTCTCTTGTGAAAATAAAATGGCAGTGTACCCTGAAGGCAGAAATGCACCTTGCTCTTATGTGTAAAACAGGTTTAAGGTTAGAAGGCAAGAGTTCATATCATATATTTGTATAGCGTATTTTTTAGAAGTCATTTTGGGAAAACGAAGGTCAAGTAGGAAGTTATGAATTCCTTACTTTGGATTTTATTCATCTTTTTTTTTTTTTTAAGTTAAAAAATACAGGCTGGGCACGGTAGCTCATGCCTGTAATCCCAGCACTTTGGGAGGCCAAGGTGGGAGGATCACGAGGTCAGGAGCTCGAGACCAGCCTGGCCAATATGGAGAAACCCTGTCTCTACTAAAAATACAAAATTTAGCCGGGCGTCGTGGTGCACATCTGTAGTCCCAGCCACTCAGAAGGCTGAGGCAGAAGAATTACTTGAACATAGGAGGCAGGGGTTGCAGTGAGCTGAGATCATGTCACTGCATTCCAACCTGGGTGACAGGGTGAGACTCATCTCAAAAAAAAAAACCAGAAAAACAGGCCAGGCACAGTGGCTCACGCCTGCAATCCCAGCACTTTGGGAGGCCAAGGCAGGCGGATCACGAGGTCGGAGATCGAGACCATCCCGGCTAACATGGTGAAACCCCGTCTCTACTAAAAATACAAAAAAAATTAGCCAGGTGTGGTGGCAGGCACCTGTAGTCCCAGCTACTCGGGAGGTTGAGGCAGGAGAATGGCGTGAACCCGGGAGGTGGAGCTTGCAGTGAGACGAGATCACACCACTGCACTCCAGCCTGGGCGACAGAGCAAGACTCCATCTCAAAACAAAAAAAAACAAAAAACAAAAATGCTAATCATTTTGGAGTAGATGGGGAGTCATCAGAAAGGGAAGAAACCCTTTCTTTTTTTTTTTTTTCCCCAGGCCTTCAGATAGCTAGTAATAGCTTTGGAAGAGCTTTATAGACATATCTTCTTGAGCTGTTAACAGACATAGCTGTTCTTGAGCCCATCTTCTCTTCCCAGGAGAAGACAGGCTCCTGCAGGTTCCATGGGAGCTGATCAGTTGCTAGAATCAGTAGGTGAGAAGCATTTTTTTCTAAAACTCCATGTGGCCCTTTCAGGCACACAGCCTCCCAAGCTGCCCCATGCTGAAGAGATTTGCACGGATGATTGAAGAGAGAGCTGTGGACACATCCTTGTACATACTGCCCAAGGAAGACAGGTGAGGGGCCTCTCACTGCTGGCATGAAGTCACACTTGGTCAGACGTCCAAGTGTATGGGGAAGAGGAGTTCATCAGGCCCACTCACGCCTGGCAGCTGATGTCTCCATGTGTAAGGAGGCTGAACCCCACTCTGCCCGCCTGCCAGTAGGCAATAGGTCTTTGCACTTCTGCAGCTGGAACTGGTGACCTAGTGCTTCTGTTCCCTGTTATGCAGAACCAGGAGCCACCACCCTCCTGACTTTATCACTTGCCTTTTCCTTTTGCTTTAAGGTTTAAAGGATTTGGGTGGCAGGGAGCTGAAGAAAGAATATTCATTTCTCTCTTTAGTCATCATGTTACAATTTACAAATCATTTTCACATTCTCACTGTGAGGTGAGAGAGATACCTTTCTCCCTGGCTTTATAGATACAGAAACTGAGGCTGGGAGATGCTGCCTCCCTGGTCTAGGCCCAGCTAGCAAGTGATGGAGCCAGAACTTGGACCCAGATCCACTGACTACCTATTCTGTGTTTTCGCTATATGACTCACAGTTAGGGCTCTGTTTCTAGGTGTGTTTCCTGACTACCAAAATGGAAAGTTTTCCTCTTACCAAATTTCGGAAGACACCTTTTTTTTCCTGATTGGTTGAAAGCATTCAGCTTGCACTAAAAATAGGTGACTTGATAGAGGAGGGGAGGTAGGAAGTAGTCCGGGGAAAGATGAGTAGTGGGGAAAGGCATCTAACAGTTCAAGAATTTGCACGGTTGAGTGCCTAAGGATAAGAGCCCTTGACTGCATTCCTTCCACTCGGAGTCAGTGTGTCCACTTTTGTGCAAGCCTAGGGTGTCCAGAAGGTTCCTACCAAGCCACACAGCTTGCTGCCACTCCCTGGGACTTGCCAGCTTCCCTTTTCTGTTTGTTCAGGGTCCCCACCGTACCTAAGTTGTTACTTACTGCCTTCTCCTTTATCAACACACACACACACATTTAGTAAATATTTTAAGCTGTGAGGATCATGCAATTTCCGTTAAAACTACTCATCTCTGCCCTTGTAACATGAAGCAACCAAAGACAATATGCAAACAAATAGACACAACTGTGTGCCAGTAAAATTTATTTACCAAAACTGATCAGATTTGGCCTGTGGTGTAGTTTGCTTTGTTCTGGTGTAAATCACTTTAAACAGGCCAGGCGCGGTGGCTCACACCTGTAATCCCAGCACTTTGGGAGGCTGAGGCGGGCGGATCACGAGGTCAGGAGATCGGACGCCCTGGGCAACACGGTGGGAAACCCGTCTCTACTAAACTTACAAAATTAGCCCGGCTTGTGCCGGTCCTGTAGTCCAGGCTACTTGGAGGCTTGAAGGCAGGAGAATCGGTGTGAACCCGGAGGCGGAGCTTTGCCGTACCAGATCGCCCCACCTGCCCATCCAGCCCTGGGGCCGACAAAGCGGACTCCATCTCAAAAAACAAAACAAAAATCACTCTTAAAGGACTTGTCTGTTCAATTTCCCAATTCCCCTGTCTTATAATAACCTTTCTTCAAGACAAATGGCTTTCCCACCTCACCCGGCATCACAATTGGCTTGCCTGTATATTGCTTCCTAAGGCTATGTTGCATACAGTATTGGTGCCTGTTCCTTCCATCTATTGCCGCAACATTCTTGGACTATAAAGATTGTCCATTTTTTTTACCAATCCACCCGAAATAAGGATTTGTCTAGCCATCATGCAACCCTAGTTTCAATTTGTCTCTGGGTTCCTGGGATTCTAGGGTATTTTTTTCCTCCTTGATAAACAGTAACGAAGCACAGACAAGGAGAAGACGGCTTAAGGATTCCATGGAAGCTAATCCAAGCCTGCCTAGGTATTGAGTAGATGAAGACACATTTCTTTTCCTCCTTAGTAAGTGGACCTTGTTCAACTACTGTGGAGTGCATGGTGCCTTTAGCTGCTATCCTGTGTCGTGGCGGATGGGGCCAGGCTGAGAATGAAAGTGTGAAGCCCAAGAGCCAAGCCCTGGAGCCCAACCACTGGCTCTTCTGTAAAATAACATAAGACATCAATAAGCAAATGACATTATGGTCCCCTAAACTCCAAAGAGGAAGGACTGGCCACCTGGAACAATTAGGAGTTCTGTTTACTTCTGATTGTTTTTCTAAGGGCCTTCTAGAATTCCTGGAAATTATTACCCCTTCTCCTTCCTAGCTTTGTCAGCTTTGTTCTTTGATTCCTCAAGGCCTAGTTGGTCACGGCTTATCCAGGTTATCACCCTCCTGCTCCCTCAGCCCCTCCCATCTCAGTTGTGTTCACAACAGGTCTGTGTGCTGGTGCTTGTGTTGTTGGGAGTCTTTATTCACAGAGGACCCCAAGACCAGCCTCAGTGCCGTTTCTCTCCTTCTGGCCCATTGCTAGCCCTTATGCATGACTTGCCTTTTTCTCAGCTCTGTCTGATTGGACTCATGAGGTCCTGGGGGCAGAATCAGTCTATGTCCCCTGGATGCTGAGTGCCCTCTAGGTGCTTAAATGTTGTTCACTTTTCACAGGGAAAGTCTTCAGATGGCAGTCGGCCCATTCCTCCATATCCTGGAGGGCAACCTGCTGAGAGCCGTGGATTCTGCCACCGCGCCCAACAACATCAGGTACCTGGCACAGCAACTCTGCTTTGTGCAGCTAAGGGCCGTGGGGACTTCTGGCTGCAGGGAGGGAACCCAGATCTTAGGGAGGCAAGAATCAGGCTGTCAGTGACCAAAGGTAGGTGTTTAACAGGCCCCAAGTCTCAAAAAGGTTCACAATCTTTTAACCTTTCTTCCTGCTGCATCCCTCCTACCATGTTTTGAAAATTTTAGTTTAGTGAAAAGAACCTCAAAGTTCCTGTTGCTTTCTCTCTCTCTCTTCTTTTTTTATTAATTGAAGATATGTCAAACAATAGCCAATTATGATGTGACACTGATTTGATATGATAATAGTCCAAAACAAAGATAATTGCTTAATGGATTGTGTAGTTTGAAGCACTTTCATTGAGTGTAAAGAAGGTATGATATCCATAAGGCATTTAAAAATGTTGGAAGTGGCCGGGCGCAGTAGCTCACGCCTGTAATCCCAGCACTTTGGGAGGCCGAGGCGAGTGATCACGAGGTCAGGAGACCGAGAACATCCTGGCCAACATGGTTAAACCTAGCTCTACTAAAAATATAAAAATTATCTGGGTGTGGTGGCATGCACCTGTAGTCCCAGCTACTCGGGAGGCTGAGGCAGGAGAGTTGCTTGAACCCAGGAGGCAGAGGTTGCAGTGAGTCAAGATCACGCCACTGCACTCCAGCCTGGTGACAGAGCGAGTCTCTGTCTCAAAAAAAAAAAAAATGTTGGAAGTGGCTCATGAGCCTCCATTGCCATTTTTGTAGCCTTGAATCCGAGGTTGGGACTACGGCTGTGGAATATTATATGTCCTAGGCACTTGCTAAGTGTGGTCTGCAGACAAACCGCTTCACCATTGCCCAAGAACTCATCAGATTCTCAGGCTCCAGCCTGATCTACTGAATCAACATCTGCAATTGAACAAGATCCCCGGGTGACTGATATTCACCTGAATTTTGGAGAAGCACTGTTGTGGTGTTATGCACAGCTAGAAGCTCATGATGGCATAAGAGGAATAGGGGACAATGAGTTGAAACAGGAACTTTGGGCCAGGATTTGTAATAGCAAATCTTGTGAATGCCATTTCCTATCCTTCACAGTACCTGCAATGACAGTACATTTTTGCTGGCTTTTGCCACCTTGCCACCCTCTGCCTTGGATCTTTAGAATACCACAGGATCCAATGCTAGTCTTCTAGGATGGGGGTTCATAAATAAAATTCTTGGTCTTTCCTAAGAGATGGATACTGGTGTCAGGCAGATGTAGATTAAAATGGCATTCTTATTACCGATTAAAGCCATTTGGAGAATGTGCTGAGGGCCAAATGGGCTTATGAATATTCTTTTGAAATAAACTTAATACCCCAAAACTTTAAGCCTCCCCAACAAGGAGCACACCTTGCCCTACTAAACTCATCCCATGACTGAGAGTAGGAAGAGCATTCATGTAGGCTGGCAGGACCCAAAGAGAGAAGAGAGGTAGGGCCTAAGCCAGACATGCTCAGTTTCTTCTTTGAAACTCACCAGGGAGGAGTGAGTGGGTGGCAAGGCCGAGGCCAGGAGAGTTTCTCTGGCGAAGACCCTCCTCATGAAGACACGGGGAGTGGGAACAAGGGTTCTTCCCACGATCGATTGCAAAGGAGTTTTATACCAGGCTCAGTTGATTTCTAGATGTCACCTGGTTTCTCAGGCAAGTGTGTCTTACTTAAAGGAGGCAGACCACATCCTGACCTTCAGAGTCCTGAGGTAGAGAATTGTGGAGAGCGGTTTCCTCTTGCAGAAAGCTGTATCTCTATGCGGCTCATGATGTGACCTTCATACCACTCTTAATGACCCTGGGGATTTTTGACCACAAATGGCCACCGTTTGCTGTTGACCTGACCATGGAACTCTACCAGCACCTGGAATCTAAGGAGTGGTTTGTGCAGCTCTATTACCATGGGAAGGTAATACCCCTGAGGTGGGGTTGGGTGGTGGTGAGGCGCCTTCCCACAAAACTCACCCACCTGAGTTAGCACCAAGTCCCCCTCCTCAGGCCCAGTGGAGTCTCCCTCGGCACAGTCAGCTCTCTAAATCCTATAGGGCAACTCCTGGCTATGCCCACGGGTCAGGCAGAACTTGACAGATGGTGGCAGGATGAGGCTTGGGCCTTATCCCAGTTCTGTTACGGACTCCTTCTAGGAAGAGGGTCCCCCTCCTCTTCTCCTGAGTGTCCCCGTCAGGATGTAGCCTCCTGGCTGTGAGGCCTGTTTTGCAGATTGTTGATGGTATCTTTGGGAGGTGATGTGTGCTGCTGTTAGCACCCATGGTGTTGGCTGCTTCATCAGGGCTGGGGTCCAGGGCAGAGGCCGGAGCACGCCCCAGGGATGAGCCTGTTCAGGGCTCTCCCAGTTCAGGGATGTAACTTGACTGTTTCTTCCCAGTCAATTCAACACTTTTTGAGTGACTTTTACAAGCAGAGCATAGTACTTTTATTCTGGAAGCTGACCGGGTAGTGGTGCCTTCCTGTCTGTAATATGTATACACACATATACCACGTAGGTCAGTGCCTCTCAGATCTCTGGGCTCAGCTGGAAATAGCAGAAGGACAGGCTCCTTGGTGGACCCGCTGAGTTATGTCTCTTCCGCAGGAGCAAGTGCCGAGAGGTTGCCCCGATGGGCTTTGCCCACTGGACGTGTTCTTGAACGCCATGTCAGTTTATACCTTAAGCCCAGGAGAATACCACGCACTCTGCTCTCAAACTCAGGTGATGGAAGTTGGAAATGGAGAGTAACTGATTTATACAAGCAGGATGTGTTGATTTTAAAATAAAGTGCCTTTATACGATGCCTCCTGCTTTGTGTGTTTGGGAAGAGGAGAGAGCAAGGGGTAATGTACTTTAATATAAGGTAAGGATATTTCCTTTCTGTGGGTATATTAAGGTTTCTTCCTGAAAGGAAAAGGGGTATAATATTGAGACCAAAAGGATATTTCTCTATTTTGTGAGTTGGTTTCTAAGGTTAGAAGCATCTGTGTGTGACACGGGCTGGGGACATCATGACCCTATAGAATTGTGTTGGTTTTAGTTCTTTTCTCCTATATTAATTTCACATGTATTGAGCTACCTACTAAGTAGTGATCATTATAAAGGTGAAAACATTCTGCCCTTAAGTTGTTGCAGTCCAGTGGGACAGGCAGCTGAGTAGATCAGTGATACAGTGCAGTATGTTTTATGCTGTAATAGATATTCGAGGGGCTATTTGGGCGTAGAGAAGAAACTTCCTGCTCACATGGCAGGGGATGTGGGGAACAGTCAAAGAAGGCTTCTGAGATAGTCCTGGCCTGATCTGAGTAGAGAAAGGTGGGTAGGAGTTAACCAGGAAAGCAAGGAGGAAAGCATGTTGCATGTAGGTAAAGGATAGGCTTCAAGGTCAAGGAACATTGCTGGGTGGTAAGATGGAACCCGGATGTGGAGGCCCAGCAGGAGGAAGCAGGAAGGACACTGGGCCCCTGGTGGTTTTAGTTCCAGAAACAAATGCGGGCCCCAGGGCTCTGCAATGGTAGGACCGGAACTACTGAACATAAGAGCTCCACCTGTAACTGTGCCCCCTAAGAGTACCTGATGATCCCCCTATCTCCTTGTCAATGTTCCCGTTCTTCTCCAGAATCTATTTCAACCCTTCTCTGATTTCAAACCACCAGTCCCTTTACCTCTCGGAGAAAACAGCAACCACAAAAGCCTCCCCACTTCCTACTATCTTAATATTGACAACTTCTAGATCAGGGAGCTGAGATATCTCAAGCTCAGGTTTCTCTTCTGAGCTTCAGACACTTTTGTCCACTTGGATTTCACTGGCACAAAACTTGCCATGTTAGAATCAACCCCCTCTCCTCCCAGATCTGCTTCTCCCACACACTTCCCTATCTGAATGAAAGACACCTCCACTATCCACCCAGTTGCCAAATCAGAAATCTGTCTTTGTTTTCTTTGTCTTACATTTTCCTGTGTCTAATCAGTTAAGTTTTATCAATACTACCTGTTTATTTCTTTAATCTATTCACGTATCTTTATCCTCAATCTTCAGTATCCCCTTTCCATCCTCAGTCTGCTGGTTGCTGTATTTCTGATTTTACTAAGAAACTAAAAGAGATCAGAAGAAAACTTCCATATCCCCCAACACCCAACCACCAAATCTGCTAACCCAGTTGCATTGGTGCTTTTATAGCCTGCCTTCCTTCCTCTTACTAAGAATGAACCAACCCTATTCCTATCCAAGCCCAACCCTCTAGCTTTACATTGACTCCTATTATCTTTTTTCTGAATTGTCCATTCTTTTCCTGACCAATTATTCTATTAGCAATACAAATATGTGGTAAAATCTCCTGTCTTAAACTTTTTTCTCTGCATCTTTGAACTGCTGTTCTCTTTTCCTTCTCCTCTTTATAGCAGAACTCCTCAAAAGAGTTGCTACCTCTGATGCTTCCCTTCCAGTTCTCTCATGAACCAACTACAATTAAGTATTCACCCCCACCACTCCATGGAAACTGCTCTTGTCAAAATCATCAATGGCCTCTGTGTGGTAAATCCAACAGCCAGTTTTCATTCTTCTTACTAAGCTTCTCATTAGTATTCCTAGACTGTTTCCTTCATTGGCTTCTAGGACAAATGCTCTCTTGGTTTTCCTCCAGTTTCTCAACTTTGTTCCTGTTGAATCTACCTTTTTCTAATCTGTAAGTGTTGGGGTATCCCAGGGCTTACTCCTTGGACCCTTTTTCCACCTTTTCCCCTACACTCACCCACTAGGTGATCTCAAGAATTTCCAGTTTGAGGCCGGGTACGGTGACTCACGCCTGTAATCCCAGCAGTTTGGGAGGCCAAAGCAGGCAGATCACCTGAGGCCAGGAGTTCGAGACCAACCTGGCCAACATGGCAAAACCTTGTCTCTACTAAACCTGTCTCTACTAAAAATACAAACATTATTATATTTTATAAAATTACTATATGGAGTACAATGTGGTGTAATCCCAGCTACTTGGGAGGCTATATATTTATGTGTATATTTATGGAGTACAGTGTGCCTATAATCCCAGCTACTCGGGAGGCTGAGGCAGGAGAATCACTTCAACCTAGGAGGCAGAGGTTGCAGTGAGCCAAGATCGCACCATTGCACTCCAGCCTGGGCAACAAGAGTGAAAACTCCGTCTCAAAAAAAAAAATTTCCAGTTTTAAATATTTACACAATATCTGCTAAATTTATACCTTCAACCTAGACCTTTCTCTGTGAATTCCAGTCTCATTTCCAACAGTCTAGTCAATGTCTCTATTGGGTGTTTAAGATACACAGTAGGTATCAAACTTCCCATTGTCCACCATAAAGTCTCAATTTCTGGGCCTTTTCAAACTTACTCCTTCCACAGGCTTTCCCATGTAGGTAATGGCACCACCATTCACCCTGTTGCTTTGGCCAAGAACTTTAGAATTGCTCTTGACTCCCCTCTTTTTCTCATATCCTACCTCTACTACATCAGTAACTCCTGTTGTATCTCTCTTCAAACTATATCCAGAATTGACCATGTCCCAAGACTTCCATTGCTACCATCTTAGTCCCAGTGTCATCTTTTACCTGGAGTATTGTAAAGGCCTCATAACTAGTCTTCCTTTTTCTGCCCTTCCCTTCTCTGCCCATCTATTCTCAATGCAGTGTTGCCTTTAAAACAAAGTCAGATCATGCCACTCTTCTGCTCAAAATTCCCCATTGGTTTTCCATCTCAAACTAAGGGCCAGTCATAATGCCCTCACGGTCCTATGACATCTCACTGCACCCCAGCCATACGAGCCATCTTACCATTCTGCTTTTTTTTTTTTGTAATACAAACTTTTTCTTTTCTTTTTAATTGACAGATAAGAATTGTGTATATTTATGGAGTACAATGTGATGTTTTGATCTATGTATGCATGAGGGAATTATTAACTCAAGCTAATTAACATATCCATCACTTCATCTACTTATCACTTTCTTGTGGTGAAAATGTTTAAGATATACTCTTTAGTAGATTTCCAGTATACAGTCACTGTGGTTTGAGTGCTTTGTCTTCTCCAAATTTTATGTTGAGACTTAGTGCCCAGCACAATGTTACTGGAAGGTGGAACCTAATGGGGATGTTTAATGGATTAATGCTATTACTAAAAGGGCTTGCAGCAACGGGTTCCTTCTCTTTTGCTTTTCTGCCATGTGATGACAAAGTGTTCCTCCTCTCTGGAGGATGCAGCAACAGGCACCATCTTGGAAGCAGAGAGACCAGGCCCTAACCTGCTGGTGCCTTGATCTTGGACTTCTCAGCTTCCAGAACTATGAGAGAATCAATTTCTGTTCATTGCAAATTACCACATCTGTGGTATTCTGTTACAGCAACATAAAATAGACTAAGACAACAGTATTTTGTTATGAACTATGGTCACCATGCTGTGCACTAGATCACAAAAACTTATTTCTCCTGTGTAACTGAAACTTTGTACCTTTTGACTAACATCTCCCTTTTTCCCATCATCCTATCCCATTCTTACTATCCTTGAAGATGGAGTATGCCAAGTAGCCCTGAGGGGTGAGCACAAGTTGTTCCTGTGCCTGGAATGCTCTCCTAGACATTTAGGTGGGTAGCTCCCTCTCTTCATTCAGATCTCAGAGAGGCCCTCCTTCTACCTCCTGCCTTAGGTACACTCAGCCACCTCCTGTCATGGGCTGAATTGTGTCCCCCCAAAATTCATATGTTGAGATCTTAACCCCTAGTACAGTAAGTCCTCACTTGACGCTGTCAATAGGCTCTTGGAAATGTTGACTTTCAGTGAATGGACATATAGCAGGTCCTTGAATAACACTGTGTTTTGTTCAACATCGCTGCCTTGTACCATTGATGAGAAAAACAGTTGGTTTTCTAATACGTTGTTTTACTTAAAGCTACAGTTTCCAAGAACCTATCAATGATGTTGAGGACTGAATGTACCTCAGGTGCAATATATTTGGAGATAGGGCTTTTTAAGAGGTAGTTAAGGTAAATGATGTCATATGGGTGGGCTGTAATCCAATATGACTGGAATCCTTATAAGAAGAGGAAATGAGGACACAGACACAGAGGGAAGATGACTGTCTACAAGCCAAGGAGAGAGGCCTCAGAAGAAACCAACGCTGCCGACACCATGATCTTGGACTTCTAACCTCTAGCACTGTGAGGAGATACATTTCTGTTGTTTAAGCCACCTGGTCTGTGACACTTTGCTACAGCAAGCCCTAGCAAATGAATACACTTTGTCCTGTCTTTCCCCCTGCCCTGCAATATTTATCAGTGCTGGATATTACATATTTGTGTATCCATATGCTTATTTCCCTGACTAAAATGGAAGCTCCATGATGGCAGATTTCTTCTTGCTCCCTGATGTGTCCCTAGCACCTGGAATAGTGCCTACTGCATGCTAGTGCTCAGACACTTGGACATTTGAATGACACATCCCCTCTGTCACATCTCTCTGGGGCCCAAGGCCACCCTCCTAGGTTACCACAGTGGCTTCCTAATGAGCCATACCCTCACTTGCTTTCCATTACCCCCTGAGACCTGGCCCCTGCCTACCTCTCCAGCTTCACCCCTCACCTGTCTCCCTAGCCAGACCCATAGTATGTTTTAAGAAAAGGAAATTGCACTTCTCTGGCCTCTTCACCTTGGCACACATTTTTTCCATCACCTGACCCCTGACACACAGTCCCTTTTCCTGTCTAATCCAGTTATCTCTAGGCCTCCCATGTTTCTGTTTGTCCTTCAGTAGGAGGTTGTCTTGTCTTTTATTGTATTTCTAGAACC